TTGATATTCACCATCACATCCTATTTGGTATTCACCATTTCATCCTATTTGGTATTCACCATTTCATCCTATTTGATATTCACCATTATATCCTATTTAATATTCACCATTATATCCTATTTGGTATTCACCATTATATCCTATTTGGTATTCACCATTACATCCTATTTGATATTCTCCATTTCATCCTATTTGATATTCACCATCACATCCTATTTGATATTCACCATTACATCCTATTTGGTATTCACCATTTCATCCTATTTGGTATTCACCATTTCATCCTATTTGGTATTCACCATTTCATCCTATTTGGTATTCACCATTTCATCCTATTTGGTATTCACCATTTCATCCTATTTGATATTCACCATTATATCCTATTTAATATTCACCATTACATCCTATTTGATATTCTCCATTTCATCCTATTTGATATTCACCATCACATCCTATTTGATATTCACCATTACATCCTATTTGGTATTCACCATTACATCCTATTTGATATTCTCCATTTCATCCTATTTGATATTCACCATTACATTCTATGTGATATTCACCATTACATCCTATTTGATATTCACCATCACATCCCATTTGATATTCACCATTATATCCTATTTGGTATTCACCATTATATCCTATTTGGTATTCACCATTACATCCTATTTGGTATTCACCATTACATTCTATTTGATATTCACCAATACATCCTATTTGATATTCACAATTGCATCCTATTTGATATTCACCATTATATCCTATTTGATATTCACCATTACATCTTATTTGATATTCACCATTACATCCTATGTGATATTCACCATTGCGTTGTATTTGATATTCACCATTACATCCTATTTGTTATGGCCAAATAACGTTATACTAATTTGCTATTGTACAGTCCATCGCCCTCTGTAGTTGAGATTTGGTAAGGTGGCTATTTATAGCACCGGGAAAAAGCAGAGAGAAATGGCGGATCGCATCATGTCTTGCTGGTGTTTTGACGCATTTGCATGAATTACAGCAGTCGAGTGAACTACACTAAGCGAAGTTTAGGTTGTTGGTTGTTGGGGTCTAATATTACGGTGAGCATAAATATGATTTCTTTGTTACGAACTGCTGACTTTTGCGACGTTTGTTTGAGGTCATTGCTTCGTATACATGTGACTCGTGTTTACCGATCACGCTAGTCTTTACGCTTTATGATCTACTGCGTGTAATTCCATGTATTTCTAAGATGTGTTGTGATATCTTTACCTTTTGTGAGGTAGTCGCTAACTGTGATGATAGTAATATTACT